GGGAAACTGTGAGCATCCTAGACCAAGCCAAATCCAAAAATGCAAGGGAATTCCTGGAAGCATGGCACTCAGACAAATCAGCCAACAGGCACATAGAGATAAACATTTACACAACATTCAAAAAGGCCAATAAAAACGCTAAGAAGGAAATAAAAAGACCAGACCACATCCTCTCCAGCAACCAACACCCAGATAAACAGGGATTAACACCAGGCAAATGATGAAGCAGAAAATAATCTAAAAAATTATTTATATATAAAAAAACCTAACCCTAAACAAGGAACTACCAAGGAGAAGATCACACCCCGACCAACACTGGCAGGGGAGGCTACTGTATATAAACAGGGAGCAAACCCCACCCTCACTAGCAGTGATGATGTTGCCTAGTCAGGTAATGAAACGTCTGCAAGCAAAGAACCAAGAAATTTTTTTTTACAAGATTAAAAACTACAGAAATATAAAAAAGATTTAGAAAAAAGAAAAAGATATGAAAAGATATAAGAAAAAGTGAAAAGAAGTAACAGTCAAGAGAAGGAAAAAGAAAGAAAAAAATATCTAAGAAGCAACTTCTGTTCTTTACAGAAGTTACAAATATAATTATTACCATTTCAGCCCTCCCAAATTATGTATCACGGTTCCCTTCTTCCCATAAACAACTCTTTTTAATCAGTAAATCCCAAGATCATCAGTTTATTTTTATCCATTTTCAGCAAAAAGTCCATAAAGGGTTTCCAGTCTTATAGAAGTAGCTGTTGTTCCTTCCCTGATCAAACAAGTCAGACTTTCTTGTTTATGATCCTCCTGGAAAAAAAGTGGATTGCAGAAGATACATTTGAAAAAGAATGTATAATTCTGCCAGTTCATACAAAGAAAGGGTATATTGGCTTTCTTGACAGGTTTTTTTTTTCCTTTTCTTTTCTTTAAAGCTTGTATTAGCGATAGTTACATTTCATATTGGAGTTTCTGCAAGGAAATGATTTCCATGTATAAAGCCAAGTTATATAAGAGGGGCATTAGGGTAATTTGCATTAATGTGATATCAAGGAGATTTGCATTTAAAAAAAACACCTAAGAATTAGAGGAATCTACAGAAGCTCTTTGTTAATGTAAGTTACAAGGAAAAACTGACTTTTTTTAAACCAATTTTTTTTTTAAAAAAAGCTTTACATTTTCAGCAAACTGAAGTGCTATCTTGCAAACTTGGACAAAAAAATCAGAAGGGATCCGGTAGCACCTCTTCTGCCTAATAAATGTTAGGCTCTCCTACCACGTCTATCAACTTGAGCACTAAACAAGCCGTATTTTTACTGATCCTCTGATCCTCATCTCAAAGCAAAGAGATCCACAGGAGGAGGTCAAAAAAATCAAGATGTCAGCTTCAGCCACACAACTGCCCCTTTTTTCGACACGCACGAAAAGCAGATATGGCTTTGATCAGGTAGCTGTGCCTGCCCCTTTTAGCACGCAAGCGCAGAGGTCCCTGTGCAAAGCGACTACGAAATCAACTGTTTGAACTAGCACTCAGCCCAAATGCCCAAAATGAATCTCATTTTATAAAAAGGAAATACGTAGGTAACCGAAGTATACAGCGGGAAAACTGTACAATCGTTTCCTTTCTATAAAATTGCTAATCAAGAGTCAATCTTAAGCTGAGCCCTATTATTTCCTCTGTCAGGTAGAGAAAAATTGATGGGCCCATTAAAACACTTCCCAGTGGTGCTTCTGGGCAAACAACCGCCACTGCATGTCTGTTCAGCAGCAAATAACTATCAGGAGCGTATCCAGATGTTTAACTTCTTTCTAGCCAGTATTCACTCTGGTATGGCTTCCATTCTTAGAGCCAGAGATTTCCTTGCCGTAGCACAAAACACTACAAAGACAAGAGTTTTCTTCTCCCCCTCCTCCTCCTCCTCCTCCTCCTCCTCCTCCATCAACTTGAAATTGGCTAAATGAAAATTAACATGGATTTACGTTTACTTGCAAGGGTTAGTCATGGTTGCACATGAACACACATTACTTATTCTTGAGCAGTTAATGTGGGTCAAGTGGAATGTGGGAAAGGGTGCTATTAAAAAGAAGAAGGTGTTTTGGGCTGAGCTAAAGTTGTTATCCTGTTGGGTGTGTGTTCATCTGGTGATGTACCAGTGCTGAAGCAGGAAGCTGCAAAACTCTTACTTGGCATGTATCGTGTACGTAAATTAAGGATCTTTACAAACACAATATTCTGCCCAATAGTTCCGCCATTTGTCTTTCTCTCTCCGGGGGGGGCCCCAAGAAAACTTTGAATTTAAAAAAGAAGGCTTAAGATATTATTAGTTTTCCAGAAGGCGACCAATAATGATGCATATTTGATGTTTTTCCTTAAAGTTAGCTTGTGTTTTTCTAGGCAGGGCAGGCCGAAGAGCAAGATAGATGGAATTAAGTATTTGATCTGTGATATTTTGAGTCAGGGATGTTGACAATGGTATACCATTGGGGGGTTGGGGGAAAAGAGAAGCTCTGAAAATAGTCCCTTTAAAATCCAGGGGGCCATTAACCTGGCTGAGATGGGGGGTGAATCTGTTGATTCCCCGCAAAAGGTGACGCTGCTTTAAAGAGTTTCAGGCAGTTCTGATACAGCCTTTTCTGTTCATATCTGCAGCACTGCAGAAAAGACTTGTTTTCATAATCTCAAAGTGAATAGCAGTTCATACTAAATATGTTTCGGGAATGAAAAGCATTCCATCACTTTCCCCCATAGCCAAGGCACTTTTGCCCCAAGTGTAATGTACTGATGATTTTGAGAAACATATAGTCTATTCTATTGGAAAATTAATCTTCTCTGTTGGCCAGATAAATCCCTTGGATTGCAAATGACTTTAACTTCACTTCGTTAGCTCTGGGCTAGTATGCTTCCAAGGAAATTGTAAATGAAAGCCACGTGTTGTCCAAGTCACGGCCCTTTTGATGTCCTTTGTCAAGAATCGACTGTAATATGTTATTAATTAAATTGTTTTGAATATCAAGACACTCTACCCCTTCATTTTTATTTGTAGAGAATGAGCTCAGTGCTGCCAGTCAAAATGTTTGGAGCCGAATCAGATCCGCAGGTGGGGAGCAGAAACCTGGAAAATGGAAAAGAGTCATTAGTCACTAGCAATAGAGAAGCAGTAACCCCAAATCCATTTCCTTTCCCCTTTGCTGATGTAGCTTCTGAGAAAAAGTGTGAAGTACCTCAAACCCCTCTGAAGTTCACCATTCCCAGCAAAGCCAGAGGAGAGGACAGCTAAGGGAGTCAGCAACATTTGGGGCATTATGAATTTCCCTTCCCATTAAAATTAAAAGTGCTCTTCACCTTTTCCAAAATGGTCAAGATGGTATCTACCTATTTTTTACGGTGTTGCATCTCAACTTTTTTGACCATACCTGCAGACTCTCCTGCGTGCTAAGCAATTTTTCACCAAGCTGCCACACTTTTGGCACAAACGGCTTACCTTTATCTCAACCTGTGCTCAGGTTAGTAAAAGCAGTTACTTCCTGAACAACAGAAATACGCAGCCGATCTCTGTGGTGCTTCTGGGTTTCTTTCCCCCCGACACACTGTTTCCAGGCCTCTAAAATAAAAGGAACACAAAATGATTTGAAAATAGCGATGGCCCAAGATCACATCATACATTTCGTGACCGAATGAGGATTTGAATCCAGATTGCCGCCATGTTACGTTAGTGGTGCTATTATTATTGCAAAAATATAAATGTAAATAAGCCCAATTTTACCAACACAGAACCATCTTCTTTCCATCGTCCTGTTTCTGAACACCGCAACTTTCCTCCCAATTAAAAAAAATGGGGTGGGGGGGAGATAGCAAATGTAGAAGACAACGTAAGAGAGGTAATGTAGAAGGTTACAATTTCTTAAAATAAGCTAAAATTCCTGAACCTGCAAATGTCGAGTTTTTTGTTGTTCTGCTTTTGGTGAGGGGGGGGGGAAGAATTTTGCACATCAATATTGCCCAAAGCTCAAACTGTTTTCTTGCCTTCTTGATATAAAAGAGCGCCACCTGCAGGATTAAAGATATACTGCAGCCAGCCACGATGACAATTCAACTGTAGCTGAAGGGAAGGATTTAAGACCATCTCCAAGAGTAATGCATTAAGAAATTATATGTTAAAACGCTATTCCCTTCCCCAGCCCTGGCTAGGTTTTGTTTCACCGTATCTTTACAACAAGCTTCTGCATGAACGATTATGAAACTATGGCTGGGTTTCGTGTTGTTTTTTTACACCTTAGATTTTTAAGTGGGAGGTGCAACCGAATGCTACAATATGGAACATTCCTCACCAGAATTCTAGTTTGTCAGACAGCCAAGCCCCCTGCTATGATTCTCCATTCTGTTCTTCTCACTTTTTGTTCCTAGCAATTAGTGTGCAGTGGCTAATGGGCTTGCTTAATTTTTACTGGGCTAGCTGGGATTTTCCCCATATCTTTAAGTTTTTGGATGGATGGATGGATGGATGGATGGATGGATGGATGGATGGATGG